CAGTCACACAAGCCTCACGTTTCAATTATGGAGGCATTTATTCAACACCTGTATTTAGCCGTGTCCCTTTCCGAGTACGTTTTCATTTCCCCTAGTCTTTTTTTATCGTGCCGTACGGTGCATCTTAATTTAACAATCATTGCACTTCTAAATCTCACAGCTAACCTGAAAACTGATATTGCGCCGGGGTTGAAGAAAGCTTCAATTCACATCTGTCTCTCCCACTCTGGCTTCTCGCTAATAAAAGAGACTATCATGAATGGGGTAATTTGTAGAGTTACGAGTCCAGGTGTTTTGAAGTCTGAAAATGACCTGTTTTTCCCAGAAAAGATGCAGCCAACAGTTGAAACCAACTGTTCCCCGGCTCCATTTCTATCCCTTCTTTCTGGCTACATTTATTTATTCAGTTTCTCGGGTCTGGCGTTTTATGGGGAAGGAGAACCACGTCTCACTGCTTTGGAGATGGCTGGAGGAACTTTTGTTTGAGCTGCATTGCTCCGATGAGGTTTGAAAGGAGGTGCTGTTGGGTTTTTGGGTTTTTTTTAAGAGTAACAGATGCCTCTTGCTGACAATCCCTCTCGCAAGTCTTGCCATTTAAAGCCACTGTTTGTTTTGCTACTTCGGACTACCAGATCTTGCCTGGCATCCGCATGAAGAAGATCATGACAAGCTGGCACCGAAGACTCACTGCGGTCCTTGGGTGTGGAACCAGCATGGATGTGCAGGGGAGGAAATCTCAAATACACTTGGGACCGTCCTGCGTTTTGGTTTCCTCCCTTTTATAAATAGCAGGCCTAAAGGTCACTTGGTTGGTATGACAGGATTTCCAAAGACCACAGAAAATAATATGGCTTTCCTGATAACTCTACTTTTAATAGTTCTGAGTGACTCGGACCTTGAACAGACCTTACCACCAGCCAAAATTGGAGTAGGGGGGGAAATTGTGCATTAATAAACTATTAGGTTGTCTGATTCATTAACTCTGTGCACATTATTGTGTGTGTTTTAAGAATGGGGAGGAAAGGATTTGCAGTGTCCAGGTTTCTGATCCTCAACGCTTTAGGTAACTGTGAACAAAACTCCAGATGAGACCATATTTGTTGTCAAGCCATCCCCTACTCCTTTGAAACAAAGCAAAATAACAGAATAAAGGACCCCCCCTTCAAAGAAAAAAAAAACCTTAGCTGAACCAGAAAAGTATATATCTAGATATTATTTATCAAGACTTCTACTGGATCTTGTACCTTCTTTAATCTGGATGACAAATTTGCATTTGTAAGGTACAGACAGAGTTTTTCTTAAGATATTTGCATTTCTTACGGCTGTTTCTCTCTTGTTCATTATACTTATGGTACAAGACTATGCATCTCAACATTTTTTAAAAAAAGTTTTATTGAATTCAGTGTGTTTTTTTTCCCCCAGATAACGGTAGATAGGATTGTGGCCTTTAAAAAGTATGTGACGTCTCCTGGTTATACGGTCATCATCATTATCATCATCACCATATCAAGCAACACCCCATCACCACAACCAACAACATGTAACACACACACAACCACACACACAACCACACACACACACACACACAATTGCATCCTGACATAATTAAATGAAATTCAATACAGTTCCTTGTAACTCTTAATTTATGATTTATCGTAGTCTAATCATTTTTCAAAGCTACTTCAGTGGCTACGATCAGCATTTAAGCTACTCAGTGAGACGCATACCTGTGTTAGGTCTCTGAGCAAAAACTGCCACAAGGTATGTGTTGGTAATGAGTCACCTAAAGAAAACATCTTTGCTTCTACTGTACAGAGTACACATTGAATGACTAGTCTTAAGCTCTGGCCATCAAAGAGAGACAGAAATGCAAACTTGATGTCTTTCGTTCTTTTGCTTTCCTTTTGCACTAGTCTGTGATGTGAAGACCTTTGCAAACAGGAATAGGGGAGGGAGGTGAAATTATAAGCCAGATATAACCCCCTGTTCCTCTAAGCCCTGTCATGCTTCCTGACTTTTAAGTAATTCAGCAGTGGCATGCAGATCCTCCTTAGAAGGGCAAGAAGTTAGCCCGAGACATATTTCTATAAGGGTTTTATTTTGGTGGGGGGTGCTCCTGAAGGCCAACCATATTTCTATAAGGGGTTTTTTTTTTGGGGGGGGGGCTACTGAAGGCCAAGGGGGTCAGCCTTGGAAAACACAGTAAATCCACAAATCATGCCATAAGAATATTGGTTAGATCCTCTCTGTTTCCCTCCCAGCTTTAACAGACTTTCCTGTGTGTGTGTGTGTGTGTGTGTGTGTGTGTGTGTGTGTGTGTGTGTGTGCATCTGGATAGTCTATGATTCCACTTGAATTACACGAAGATCTGGAGAAGTTGTAGGTATATCAAAGGCAAGACCTAGCCCTAGCAAGGTAAACCCTTCTCTATGGATCAGTGCAGAGATACACTTTATTGTATAGCAAGGAGCTCAGATCTTCTAGATCTGCACATAGCCAATATAATTTAGTTCAGTTTATTTATCTAGCACATCCTCTCCCTAGAGGTCTGGGAGGTTTATACGAAGCACAGAACAGAATAGCCAAAGCGAAAACTGGAAGACAACATCAACAAATCCACAAACCTGCTTCCAGTTCAAAAGCCTAGCTCCTGGCTAACAAAGCCTGGACCAAAATATATACATCTCAATCTTTATATCTACAGGGCTTTTAAATATACTGGAGACTGTTCGGTGTAATTATAATGCTTGCGGGTGCCTGCACACACGTGTTTGACTTCTCCATTCAAAAAGAGAGAGAAGGGAACACTGAATTAGACGGGATTTAAAAATAAACCAGCGCATGCACTTCCCAGATTCATTTTCCATTCGGTCTAACTCAATGTTCTTTTCAATATCAAGGGCTCTCTTGAGGTACAGTATGCCTTCCCGCAGAACGCATGGTAAACTTTTCTTGCTTGTGTGTGTGTGTGTGGCCAGTTTATGTATGTGGGAAAACCAACCCTCCCCCCCCCCAAAAAAAAAGCCACTGAAACTCAATGTTCAAGTGATGCCCTTTGGATCTCGTTTTCACGACTCCCCGTTTCGGAGCATGATCTATAGAAAGCC